AAACAAAAAAACAAAAAAATAAAAGAAAAAAGAAAAGATAAAAAAAAAAAAAAAAAAAAAAAAAAAAAAAAAAAAAAAAAAAAAAGAGAATATTAATTTTACATAATTAAAGGTTTGTTCGACAGGTAATTTATAGACAAACCTTTAAATTCAAAGAAAACATAGAAAGCAATTTTATCTAAAAATTTTTCTCTGTCCTGAATCTCCTGGAAAAAGCACCAGTGAGCATAGCTGGTTAATGTATAATACCTATAAGCAATTTTATTGGTAAATGAGACAGAAATATCCCTTGATTTTACGATGGCGTATGCTTTTCTCATTTCCAGAAACAATAATAGGAAAGACATAAGAATTGAACCGACGAAAATCCATTTTGTAATTGAGAAAGAAACTGCTGGTTTAACTGTAGCCCAACTGTCGTTAAGTAATAATGCTGTCATAGAATATAAATCGGCAATATAAACCAGTATTGCTTTTAAAACGATAAAGAAGACCACTGAATATCGCATTTTGGCAAGGCAATCATGTTTTTCGAACTCGTTGACATCAACAAAGTCATACTTGTAGTCTTTAACTATTTTATTATCCCTTTCCCTTTTCCACTTAACCATGGTTTTAATCTATAAAAGTGTTCAGTTATTTAATTACCCAAAGCGCTATTATTAAAAATTTCACTTTTATAATTATATATGCTTTTCTTTTTGACCCCCTTTTTTTTTTTTTTTTTTTTATCCGATGAATTTTTAGTTGTCGATTAATAATGCGGATCTAATTTGTATGTTGATTTTAAAATCCGTGACAAACAACTAATTCATGAACAATCTTTATACCAAGAAAAATGAACAAAAAAAAAAGTTATATATGTCAAAATAAGTTTTGTAAAAAGGAAAGGGTGTTGAATTAGAAACAAAAGTAACAATTTAAATACTTTTGAAACCGGAGGACATAAAAAATAAACAATACTACATATAAAAAAGTAATAGATGTACTACATTTGTGACTTTATGCGACACGAACCGCTTAAAAAAAAAGTTTCTTTATCATTTAAAGATATTTATGTGGATTAACCTAAAAACTAAACGTATCTAATTATCCTTGACTACCGAATCTGATTAGTTTCTAAGCACGTATTACCAAATAAAGATGATCTATTACAGATCAATCTACTCTCTTGTTAATTATTGTGTGACTCGAGTACATAAATTTGCCTTACGATTACACCAGTGTAATTGATAACATTAACGTTAATAATCCTTTTTTGTAATTTACCGCTTTTTAACCGAAAACGATCGATTATAACAAATTTATTTTTTCCTTAATCGCAAATCAGAAACATTCCGTCAACAAACGTCTTTTATTATGCGATGGCCCTCGTCAGGTTATAAACGCTCTCACTGTGTACACCTTTTTACATGACAAGAAATTTTCCATGAATTTATCAGTATATGGTTCACTTACCACAAAGGCTTCTATAGCAATTATGTCATTCACAGTGGCGGTGTTCGCTATCTCTGTTACAAATCTATTTTTTGCTTTTCTTTTATACCTCCCCCTGCTTTGTAAGATTCAGGGAAATTTGAAAGAATATTGTTGTCATATCATAGACAAAAGGTATTGATTATTAATTAATTAATTATTTATTTATTTATTGTTGCGTCTCAATTCCTTTTAAACAATTCGGTACTAACCTCCTACTTAAATCATATTTAAATTAGGGTTGGTCAACTTCTTGATAAGCAAAGGAAAGAACGTATTGCGGATGCTAGTAAAAGAGGTCAAAATAAAGGTCCACAACCTACAATTCCAGAATTAAACGATGGTTATCCTCCGCAATATAATGATCCACCACCAAAAACAGCTTTCAATCCCTCTGAATATCCTCCTGATAAATTAAATTATAATGTTGCTGCTGCTGAGCAACAGGGATATTATGTCCGAAGTCCGAACATTTATCAGCAACAAAGAGATAGCATTAATAGCGATCCTGTAAGAGATAGTTCATCTGCGCCGTTATTTCATAATTATAACTCATCTCGTCGTGAAAGCATTTCATCCGCTGCTGGTCAGGTTTACAATGAGCGTTCAACTAGTCCTGCCTTTAATCCCAGACAATATTCTACACCGACTCCTCCCCCTCATATACGACAAGTAAATCAACCACCATATATGCAACAGTCGTCTCAACAACTTTATCAAGCAAGATCCCCTCGTTTACATAATGTGGCTGGTCCACAGAGCTCAATGTCATCTCCGATAGTTAGACCTCAACAACCAACACCTGACCCTTATTATCAAGGT